TCCTGTCGTCGTTTAAGCACTACGAATGGTTATCCTATTTTACTCTTAGTTAAACAGCCGTATTCTAAGACGCGGGGAGGAATGGATTTTCTGGGAAACGTTAACCATCGGCTGGCAGCGAAAGTGGCGCAAATGACGTTTTGCTATGGCAAATGACCAGTGACAATTGCTAAATGGTGGGTTTAATGACGGGGAAGGTCATATGTCAGTGAGGTTATCGAGCATTAACGAAAACTACATGTTACATAGAGGGCAGTAATGGGGTATTGACGGATATGGCATGCCTCTGCAATTCATGGCTCGGGTAGGGCATTAAACATCACGGTTGTCAAAGAGTGGACCATTCGGCGATAATGGCTCCATCATATGCTGTGGTGACAGTCGTTACAGTGTGACAGTCAAATACCAATAAATTAATGTGATGTAACTTGTAAGGTGCTGATTGCATGTCAGCAGCAGTTATTAAAAAGGTCAGTAAAATCCATTTCGGTTGCTACAGATTAAAAAGTGTCTGCAGCCACATTAGCAGGCGCTCTGCGGCTGCACTTAGGCATAGAGGTGCTTTGAGGTAATTGCTAACATCAAGATGTGCTCCCTTGACAATGCTAAGATGTTGATGTTGAGCGGGTAATGTGACGGGCTCATCGTCTTATCTAAACCTTTTTTCTAATGTTAACGTTTGCTAATTAACGCTAAACACGAAGCAGATGGGAATGTCTTTAGTTTTACAGGTATCTGGCCATAAAACCAAGTGTTTGTCAGTTAACATTTAAACCTGATTACGGTGATAAAGTAGCAGTCAGAGGATCAGTAAATTTACTTGGATTCATCCTCTGCGGACTTTAAATATCTGCAAGAAATTTCAAAGCGATCGATCCGATGATTGCCAAGACATATTACTCCGAATCGCAAATATCACCCTCAGGGCCATGTAGTGGAAGCATGAACATTTTGTATGACATTTCACGGTCATCCATCTGATATGAAATCTATTTTTGAAATATTTCAATCTGGACCAAAGTGGTGAACCGACCAACTGACAGAGCGACATTTATATAATACAGCAAGGCAGAAAGGAAAAGCTGTTTCAGATAACAACCAGTTGGTAATATGAAATCAAATCATTTCCATAACATCTCCTTCTAAGATAATATGTAATTCAAGACATACTCCACTGGTTTTAGGAACTCAAGCTTAAATGCTTAGCAACACTTAATCCCGGGGGCTAATTAAAGACAGAGATGGTAGAGATTGCATCTCCTAAATGCTCTAAAATATCACATTTGCAAATCTATCATCATCCTTGGCACTTAGACCTTGATTTGCCACAGTAATAAGTCTCTCAAGGATCAAAGCATCCAGGTGGAATATGATTATGAAGGCAATGATAAGACGTTTTAGTCATGCTGTTCTGAAAAGGAGACACGCTATCCATTGGATATACGGGTGCTCGAGCAAATCGCTGACCTCACTGCAGGCAAGTCAAAGACACATTCAAGTGCCTGAGGGAGTCATTTAGTACTAGTTAATGAGAACAGCACCGTCATGCCACGGCAGTCCGTCGGTGGGCACTTGCGGAGGTGTGGCCGTGGTACAGGGCGGTGTTTGGGACACTGCGCCGCACTGCAGCTCAGGGAAGCACACAGGAAGGTGAGACGGATCAAGGTCAGGCCGAAGTGGACAGGAAGTGTGGCGGATGGAAGCGCACGTAACACGAACACGGGAATTCTCGCTCAAACAGATGCATACGCACAAGCAGACAGACGTGCACCTTCCTTCCAGCCAGCACCTCATCTGGGTGATAGCTATTTCAGGAAAGAACACAGCATTAGGACACACATTGCCTCCAGCTCTACCCCCTTTTCTACACTCCCTCCCCGTTCCTCCCCTGCTCGTTCCTTCCCGATGGCCTTCCTCGTCACAGCTCCTCTCCCCCTTTTTTTTTTCTGTGTGCATACATTTTGTTTTCTATATAGACAATTTCCAGTTTCTGTTCCCTCTTTGTCTCATTTCAGCCCTCTGCACACTTGGCCATGTCACAACAGAGTCTTGCTTGGCACATGAGGTTACGGTTAGTTAAGACTGGGCAGCGGTCAGGCCACAGTTGCAGGACTACAACAGGAGTACATGTGCCGAGATGGAAGGCATTAATCACAGAGGGGGGACGAGAGAGAAAAGGAGGAGGGAGGGATTGTGGTAATGGATGGAAGCAGGAGAGCAGAGAAGAGGGAAGTGGTATAAGAAACAAACCAAGGGAGCGCAAAAAAAGCCTTGGTAGGAGAGTGTGTGAATGACAGTGACGAGAGAGAGGGATGGACTTTGAGAATATGTGTCAGTGTCTGCATGTCTGCCAGCTTCAAACAAACATCCATCTCAGGAGGACAAAAAAACTGTCAGGCCTGCCCTCAAACTATGATTACCAGCCCGGGTTTGTATGTGAGCCAGCTGATGCTGCTACCCAGTTTGGCTCATGGACGCACCACAACATGATTCTTTAAAGGTTTAAAGGCCGGGCTGTTTACCCGAAGCGAGACAGGATCTTTAAACCTTCCACCGTCTAAACACAAGTTTTCCATAATCCCATTACAAATTTGTGCCTGTGTGTGTTTTTATTGCTACAAGGATAAAAATCTCACAAAAAAAGAAACTAATGCAAAGAGGGCAAATAGCTGATATTCACTGCTTTGATAGGCTGTTTTAAGATTTAGGCTCAGGTTTTGAGATAAGATTGGAGTAACGATATCATGTGGATTTAAAGGGATACTTTGATTTAGGGGAATTTGGCATTTCACATTATATTCAGAGTTTTTCGTGAACAGCAAAATGAGTTCAACGTAGGCCACGGTTGCGCAACATTGATATTGGCGACTCAAATACAAACAAACTCGAGTAATCTATATCTTTAGGATTGTGCGGGTGGTGTTTGGTCTGATCTAATTAACAGCTTTTGACACACAACCAGCCAACTGTCCGTTCAATAGTTCACATCAGGTGGCGGAAAACCCCTTTAGCAACAATGCATGTGTAAATGTAAAATCCATGAGTAAGTGCTTGTAGGGTTCCTCCCATCCCACAGGGTTTTCTATGAGGTGTGTGGTCCATTGGAGGGGCTTCCCTGATTAATTAGGGAGCTAAAAGACAGTGTGCTGCTGGTGGAGAACACCTGCCAGGGGATTTTTTATTTTTTAACAATCTGGCAACGTGAAACTTATTAAGGCATAAGCGTCTTTGAGTGTTGTAATAAAGCACTATATAAAACGTATTATTATTATTATTATTATTATTATTATATACAGTACATATACAATTCAAAGCATGAGCTACTATTTTTTTTTAATAAAGCCTTTAGCTACGACTTAAAAACCATTTATTCAGAGCACCTTTTTAATGTAATCTCTCATCACTATGGAGGATATTTGAAAAAGGTAATTCTATGATGCTGTTGATGCATATTGGCTACTTAAAATGCTAACCAATGCCCGTATGAGACATAAGGAATCATATGCTGTTGTTTTATTATTTTACAGTTACCGTCACTAATAATCTAATGTGCATAAGATTTTGGCTCTTTGAGTGACCGTGCGTTAAAATAGCCCCGTAGAAGAGTAGCTGCTGTGTATTTGAGGGGTTAAAGTTCACCCAGATGCAAGACATCCACAGCCTGTTTCTGAGTTTAACACCGGAAAGTCTGTCGATGTGTGACAATCATTTATCTAACTGCTGCAATACAATGTGTTTTACACGTTTTAGTAGTTATTCTAATGATCAGAAATCACATTCAATAATACATTAATTATTTCACCGCAGCAAATATTCTGCTGTGAGACAAAAAAACAAATGTTTATATGACAAGAATATTCTGACTTTGGTATACAGATCCGACTTTTACAGCAAAGTAAAATCCATGATGAGCCCAGGACTCAACTGTGTCACTGATGTAAGTGTAAATGATAAAACTGTGACTCTGTGTGTGACTGCTCACCTGATATGACGAAAAGCATGCATTAATATTTGCCACTCGATCCTGATCTCCATGTCAGGGATCATTAATAATTCTAAGCAGTTAATGAAGCTGCTGCTGTTTGATGCTGCAGGTATGTAATAAACTCAGAAGAAAGACTCCTAAAAACAGCTGGAGGCAACAAACTGAATTTCAGCTCATGTGCAAAATTTGATTTTAGAGAAGCCTTGTCCTTTTTGTTGCGCTCCCTGTGATGTTAGACAAGTCGCACAGCTGACTGACTGCTGCTATACGTTCCTGTCGTGTCATTTAATGCTGCTTTCACCTGCAATGGGACATAGCAGTTGCATTTACCGAGACTTGGATGTTGGTGATTGGTATTTCAGTGATTTGGTGTGGCGACAGGGGTGACTATTGTGATTTCAGGGGTGGCTATGCACCTGCCCCCCTTCCTCTCTCTTGGGGGTTCCGCTGACTACAGTTTCTGATGAGAACAATTCAGAGAAAGAATCAGCAGGTGGTTTTATATTGAAGAGGGCAGACCTCCTCTTTCCATTGGCTAACAAAGGTTACGTGCCTGAGATATTGCAAAGACCAGAACAACTAGTAGTATGTGTCCTGTTCCGGGTAGGCCAACATTTGCAAGGAAAACTAAGTCTGCTGACAAGACCACAAACCTGAAACTCTCGAAAAGCACAACAGCATGTAGCATAAAATATGCAGGGCGAGATACACTGATGCAACTGTTGCGAAAAATATGAGTGTGTTGCTGTAGTTGATTTAAAGAGTTGAAAATATTCGTCTGGAAGGTGAGGGTTTAAGTTTGCACATCAAGGGGAGATGGTCCAGTAAAGTATGGTAATACTCACTGGAAATGGCACACACCACGTGCCTACTGTCAATGTGAATATACAGTAAGTCAATGTACATTATATACACATTAATCTCAGGGAAGACCTGAATCCTGTGGAGTCCCCTCCTCTGGGGGAGAGAGACATCATCAGCATTCCTCTCTGGGCTGGAGGTCTGGAGGTCCAACCCTCTGAGGCCCAGCTGACGAGAAATAAAACTGTGCTCACCTGTACCTTCTGCGCCCGCCGCTTGTCTGCCCTCTGATTCTGGTGATAGATGCGACTAAAGTTGGACACGATGACTGGGACAGGCAGGGCAATTACCAGCACCCCACTCAGAGAGCAGATCGAACCAAAGATTTTCCCTGCGATCGTCTTAGGAACCATGTCTCCATACCTGTGATGGGCGACAGTGAGAAAGAGAGAGTACGTACAGTTAGAATATTTTATGCATGTAATAAAATCTGTCCATTGCAGCTCAACCTTGAAGTCGCGCACAGTTGACTGGAGGTCATTCAAAGCACAGAGACACACACACATCTTACTGTACCAACTGTTTTAATTTGCCTCCCATTCATTCTTTCTGTACATGGCTTTCATCTTGTTTTTCAAGCTGTATGTATCCTCCATCCTATCCGAATAAAATTTGACCTGCTGACTCTGAGCAACCTCAGGAGACAAAGCGAGAGGTTCCAACCAAACCTCCCGTCATTGAATGGCACAGTAAAGTCCACTGACTCATTCACTGAGAGCAGATACTATTAACCTTTAGAGAGGAGAAAGAGGAGGACACTGTGAATGCCAGGGACATTTCCCAAAAGTCATTTAGCTCAATTCAGTCTGAAATATTTGCAAGTCAAAAGCAATTTCGTCTCGAGTTCAAAGACAGACAACGCAATTACAATAACTGTATTAAATCCCTTTCTTTTTTTTTTTTTCTCCAAGGAAGAAGCCGCGCTGCAGGAATCGGCAGTGGAAGGAAAAAGACAGAAGACAGAGAAGCAGAAATCCGAAAGCTAAAAGAGCACAACTTAAGTTGGAAAAGCAACCTTTATTTCTAATGGTTTGCATTTCTTATTCATGAGTAAAAAGAGCAGGTAATTTGTTCTTGTTTTCCGGCTAAACAAGAAATGCGACTGAGTTTATTGGACCTGACTCAAGTAAGCCGATAAAGAAACCTGAAACATACAGTATTTAAGCATTAAGCATTTTATATTATTATGTAAAGACTGTAGAATGGACAAATCTTTTGTCCTACACAGCAAGCTGTAACTCACGCAAAATAGCCTCTGGGTACGTTCACCCTCAAGACTAAACTCCTCAGAATTGCAAACAACGTTTCCTTTATTCATTTTTATCATAAAACAACCTAAATGTAGCCAGTGGCAAAGCACAAGCGGTACATATGTTGACATGTTTGTATGACAGATTTTCTTGGGTACATGGACAAATGAGATAATGATTCATGAAAACACTTAGGTCTGCGCTGAGAGACTGAAAGTCAAGTCATTGAAGCAAAGCCAGAAAGACAGCAACAAAATGTTGCAAGGGAATCTGTCTCTTCTCTGTCTCATCACATTAACCCCTGTAGAAAGCTATGCAACGTGTCAGAAACAGTGAAAACTGAGAGATACGGTGCTCCCTCTGAGCTCGAGAGTGAACACATCTCAGACAGGTGCTATTACAGAGAAGCTAAGCTCCTCTTGTGCACTAATGGAATCACAAAACTCATGCCTATATACTGTACACTTCCAAAGCGATTTATACTGGAAAGTGGATTTTGCATTTACATGCATCAGCGGTATAAAGGACACTGAAAAACAATTATGTGATACCTACATGAGTATTTTCCTTCTTGTTGCTTTACAGTACAATTCCACTACTTTTGTTTGGACGCTATAGTTCCAAGTAACTTTACTTTCTAATTAAAGCACCAAACAGCATCCAAAATGGGTAAATTTAACTCCAGCACAGTCAGCTACATTATGAAAATGCTAAACACTGCTTATCCAACACAGAACTCAAAGTTAAATGTGTGCATTGGTCCTCGGCAAAATGGATTATGTTCACAATAAAGGCTGTAAAATTGTAAGATGGTGGTTTTAACCAAACACAGAACTTTCTAGCCAGGAGACTGGACTTGTAATGCTGTGTGCGATCTGTCCTTTGCATAAAATTATTTTTAAACTTTGCTGTGTTTTAAGTCACTGTTTACTTTCACTTTCAGTTGTAGTTTTCTGTCACTGTTTTTAGACATTTTCAGTTGCCATTAGTGCTTTAGTTCACACAACAAAGCTACTTGGTTAAGTTTAGGCACTAACATTACTTAGTTATTGCCAAAAACTGCATTTCTTTGAATGGCAGGCTTCAAAAGTAAGTCAGTCCCTGTAGACCTTCATACATGTTTAACTTTACAACAGAAATACTAATGTTTAAAGCCCGGCACTGAAAAGTTTGATCTCTACGGCTAATTTCCCTGTTCAGTACAGAGGGGTGGATTTTTATATAACTCACATGTTTAATTTATATTAAGGCTCATAGTTATGCATAATTAAGGGTGTGGCCGCTCTGAGTGACAGGTGGTTACTGTCACAGGACAGTACATGACCAGGAGCTGTTTGCATGGCCTCAGCTCCACTCATGCTCCACCTCTTTAACTTTTGTTTTATAATTAGTCAGGATTTAGGCAGAGTCTGGCAATGAAAGATGGCAAGAGCCGGAGCGACCATTCAAAGCGGCTGTTCACAAAACCAGCAATGAGTTCAATAAGGCTTTGTCCATTTTCTTTACACAGATTATTATTGAAATGATAGCATGTAAACCCTAGCTGCATATATATCTTAAAAATTTAGTCTTTTTTTGTGTGTAAATAGTTTATTTTGCACAGTTGACCAATGTAGCTTTTAAACATTTTAATGTAAGAGTCTTTGTTAGAATTTCTTTTACTTCTAAGTACACTTGAGGACAATCCTACTTGTACATCTACTTACATTCTCATATTCCAACTAACCTTTTCTTGTAATGGAGTATTGCCATTTTTATCTGAATACTTCACCAAATACATATTTACATAAAAACAGGGACACATTTTTGCCTCCTTGCAGTTTTTTGTAGTTTGTTTCTGGGAATTCATTTTAGTTTTTGCCCCCACCAGTCTCTTATCAACACTGCAACTGGCATTCGCGGCCAGATTCACACAGATACTAACAACAAAAGTACTGAATAGCATTTGACATTAGTCCCATGATGCACTTGGTACATTATAAGTTGCTATGGACTTGGCAGAGTGCAGACATAGTCAATCAGCTTGTTAGTGCTGCTAGACCAGACTGCATGTGTATAGTTACAATTCAAAACTTTACTATAAATAATATATTAAACTATAATAAAATGATTTAAAACAGAATACTTAAATATGTCTACCGCTGAGTTATTTTTTAAATATTTAAGCAGCATGTTTCATGTTCGACAGCTACAAGAACCCTGTCAATATTTCAGAAGCACGTCCAAAGCAGATCTCCCAAACGGGCTGTGTAGCCGAATAGCGCTTATCAGACTGATCCACTTTGACATATCACACACAATAGCACTGGTTGTTATTTGAGGACTTGGCAAACAGTGCCCAAGAGGCCCTCCATAAATGAACAATAATCTGCTTAAGAAGTTGTGCTCGTGATAGTTGTTTTATAATCTAATGAAGCACTTCTGTCACAGTCGGTTGGAGATAGTAAAAACACAGACTGGTGCCACGCATTAACGGCAAACACACACACACACACATACAAAAAAAAAACCCCATTCACTTTATTTTGCTGAGGGAGATGAGACAGGAGATGAAACCTCATACTCATTAGTCTTAAATTTCAGCAAAAACAAACCCAATATGAAGCCATTTAAGTGGAGGGTGGTTTTCACATCAGCACTGCCCACACACAGCGAACCACTGGTCCACAGCCATAACTGAGGAGTATACTTACAGCGAACATTCATCGTCCCTTCCAAGAACTTTAATGGCCTTTCTACCCAAATTAGGCAATAACAATCCCATCAGTGGTACAAAGGCCCTATCACTACAAAACATTTCATCTCCTCCCCTCTTCAAAAGATGTTTCCATTAGGAGGAATGAAAAGCTAATCATATTCATCTGCTAGCTTTCTTTAATGGGTTCCTATCAGATTTCCTGATAGAGGCCCTTCTCTTCTAATACTACAGTCAATTTGCCTCTCCCATTTAGTCAAGCTGGCCTCTCTCTGATGATACCATTTCTGAACCATTATATACGACACAGCAATAAAGCGGGGGGCTCGCACGCATAAAAGAAAGAAAAGGCTGGAATAAGTGGTGTGAGGGTGCGCGTGTGCATGTGCGCGATAAGCGAGGTCGGACGTAATTTCTTCCCCTCCCCGAATGCTGGGGCCTTTTTTTTTTGACTGTGCAAGATGATGCTGAGGGTGTGGGGAGAGAAGGAAGATGGATAAACAGTGAGAGGAGGTGTGCTAGAGAGAGAGAGAGATTTTCTCAGCAGATGCAGCCGGAGTTAGGATTTTTTTTTATTATCTCTCAATCAGGCCCAGCTCTCCCTCCCCTCCCCTCTTGCTCATACTACACAAACACACAGAAGCATGGGGTTTTTTTGCTGTGCAGATCCCCCACATGGTTGGAAACGCCCCGTTCAGGTGGACAGGTCAGCTCTTGGTCAGGGCTGTCACATCCCATTGCGGGAGGGTTAGGTCTCTGCGGGTCGTATTAATAAAGTGCAGGAGGGATGGATTGGTGGGGTGAGTGGGACTGAGTGCTCTTGTATGTACAGTGCGTGTGATGGATGGGCTTATCAGAGATGCTCCAAGGGCTGACAGACACACAGATTTGTGATGATGGCGGGTCATGTCATGTCAAGTCAGGAAAACAAAGCTCATGCGCAGTAAAACTCGCTGATAAACTCAAGCCGTACGGCCTAATGCAAAACAACAATGGCGATAGAGGCAATGAAGAGATAGCATTACACAAACAATGTTTAGACAAATAACACAAATGCAAAATCTGATTCTAGTGGCAGGATTTGTTATCATTTGGGTGCACTGAAAACCATCTAAGCTTCAGTGATCTGAACTCTTGTGTAGATAAAATGAATATTTACTGATGCTGCAAGAACATAGTGCCATTCTAACTGTCTTCACAACAGGAAGCTTCTGTTGAAAAAAAAAGGGTGGGAGATCAAGAGAGAGAAAGAGGTAGGAGAGTGACTTACAGAGTGTTGAGGGTTGGGTTTCCATTTACAGACCAACTCCCATGCGATTCCCCGGCAATTTTCCTCAGTTCCCTTCAGATACAGCCTAAGTGATTCTGTTTGGACCCCAATCCCTTGTGGTGGACTGACCCCCTAGAGGGCTGAAATA